ACTTTTTCCTTAAAGAAACAGTAGTCGAATCAGCAGAGCACTGGCCGTACAAATGAACCGGTTACTATCCTCGACTACCCAAGTCTCTTCTAGATTTAAATTTTCGGATTCTGGCCCCTCCCTATTTTGTTTGCTTTGGACCGTCCACTTGTTTTTAAGATTGTGGTTTGGCCTTCCAGTAGTCACAAATTATTATTTAGTGGAGAAAACTCAAAAGGATGAAACGTAACTGTTGCATGTAAAAACTTTCACTTCTATCTTCGCAAAACATCAAGCGTTCTAACTTTTTTCTTCAGGAAAAAACATCTGCAAAAAAGCTAAAATTTTCCTCTCTCTTGTCGTGTAGTAGTTGTTTCTAAATCATTTAATATTTCCCACAATTTGTGATGTTGACGAACCAATTTCAGCCTAGAAATGGCGATCAAACCCGTTGAAGAGGAAGTGTTGGATGATGAAGAGATGGAAGAAGATGAAGATGAAGAGACAGAAGATGATGAAGAGATACAGCAGTCGCCTTCGGAGATAATGTTGGCAATGATGAAGATTTTTCAGCTGCAAAAGAATACATCTGAAAGCACAAACATTTTTATGCCGCACGACGAAAGCAAGTGATCTTTTATTTAAAAAAACCCGAATAAGTTCTTTTTTTTTTTTTTCTTTGTTGTTGTTAAAACGATTTTGAATTCTTGCTGTTTGTTTTTATTAGTTTTTTAGTGGCAGAAAATCCGTATCCATGCAAAAGAAAAATCTAAAAATGCAATGTGTGCGTTTTTTCGAAAAATTTTTTTGACTATATTTGAACATTTTTTACCTAACTCGCTGGTGTTTCCAAAAAATAGCATCTGTTTTCCGTTTTTTTTTTTTTTGAAAGCTAGACATACAGATACGATTCACTTTGATAAAAAGTTGCTAAGTTTTATAAAAAAATTTGACCGATATGTTTTTCAGCACTACCTTTTTTTTGCTAAATTCTGAGTTGCTCCGGATGAACTTTATGCCTTTTTTCCTGGATTATAAGTCTTGAACGATTTTTTTTTGTGGAATTTCATTTCAATGAGTTTCTTTGGATTTTTGACAAAATCGAAGGGAAATGGCGTTGGTTTGCTACAAAAATCTCATAATCGAGAGTTGCATG